CTGAGAATTCCCCATTGGCAACACTAGCAAATGAAAATATTTACAAACTAAAACCATTGAGGAATTGAATTGAAACTATAACAAAGTCCTCATTTCTTTTAATAATCACTTAAATGAAGGGTACTTTTCATTTCAGTTTGTTCATAAGAGTTTGTGACGCCTGGCAAGAACTTATTCACCTAATTACATACATATGTATGTATGTATATTAATTTGACTTCGAAGAAAGTAACAATGGTTTAAGTAACCCTCCATTTTCTTGAGGGTTCTTGCGGAGGAAGACGATGTGTGGGTAGATACAAAAATTTAACATAATTTCCTTACTTGTTTGGAACGGAAGTCACATTGCAAATCCGGCCATTAGTTCACTGTACTGGTCTGGATTGGTTTATTATAATGATCTTTCACATTTACTTTCGACAGGACTCTCTCTCTCTCTGTTCTATCAAAATTATTCTTTATAATTATCTTCGGGGAAATCTCTAACCACTTACTGCTGTGAGTTGGGGCAAAGCTTGCCGGACTGGCATTTAAAATTTCCCTTACCGGGTTGGAGATTTCCCTCTTTTTCTTTTCGTCTCTCTCTTTCCACCTTTCTCTTTTCCTGTTTCTCTATCTCTCTTTCCTTCTTTCTTTTTCCCTTTCTCCTCGTACTTTTTCTAATTAGTTGTTAAATAGAATTAAATTTCCACCTCTATCTACATTTTGTATAGTTTTTTAGGTCTTTAACCACATATGGCTGTGAATCGGGCCAAATAAAATTCCCCCAACGTGTCGGATGCATTAATAGACGTTATTGTTCAGCTTTGTTTTAAGCTTTCTTATCTTTTAAGTTTAGTTTAAATTGTTATATTAAGTTATATTATATAATCGACAGAATTATTGTTGATATTCTAAATAAAATAAAATAAAAATTTGTTGCATCATTTGGAACTTAGTTCTATCCTTAACCTTTACAATATACTAGTATGTGTGTTCAAGGGCGTACGCAGCTTTTTGCAAAGGGGTGGCCAAAAAAAATTAAAATTTTGATTCAATAATGCATATCATCAATAAAAAACTTCAACAAATCCAGCTCTGTTCCATTTAAAGATGCAATATATATATAAATATATTAATGAATGTGTGGTCGACTTCATATTGCGAAATTGAAACACAAATCCTCTCAAAGAATGCTGAGATGGCACAATTTATGGCACATACGTGGTATTATGTATTGTGGTTTTTACATTTACATTTTGTCTTTCATTTATTTATTATTTATCAATTTAATACTGTGTATGGTTATGTATATTGTGGTTTTCTTATTAATTATTTTCTTTTTCCCAGGTTGGTAATATGGAAATAAACATTTGCATTTTACCATTCATTGGAACTATGACTGCAAAATCATTAAAAATATGGCATACACATATGTTGACAGAACGCAAGTCCAGTAAGGATCGTGAGTTCGTAGAAAACTTGCCTCATGCAAGTAGTCCACCTACGACAATAAGATTATATATAATAGCATCGGAAAATTTGATTAGTGTTATCATCATAGAGGTAGTAGCTGAGACTCCCAATATCTCTTTTGGATCGACTCAACACTGTTCAGTTGATGTTTTGGATAAACGCCAGACTAGTATCCCATTAATGCGGCGTTACATTCCAGCCTGGCAGATTTGACTTTCTGTTAATTCTTTCCATTTTGAAAACTCAAATATCCGCTACAGGTAACGATCCATGAATGAAGATTTGCATTCAAATACAAACAAATTTTATTTTTCAAATTTGTCTAAAATCATATTACAACTAATTGAATGAACTAACTAAAAAACAAGTAAAGTTCTTAATACTAAACTCAATATGTATTTTAAGTTGACTAAAATGGATGAACTTTCGGTTCATTGCGATCGCATTATGGGCCCTTTATTCAGTTAACAATATCAATGCATGTTATTGCGATGTCAAAATATTGATGCAGAAACTGTTTGTCCTTGATTCGCAGTGTTGTTGGATATTTGTTAGCATTACGAATACGTTGGGCAGACTGCCCCATACCTTTCACTAAGTTAAGTTGACACTTCATTTGTAGAGGGGCAGCGATTACGTTGTTTGTCGATTTGTAACGCGATTAATGGCCATTGTGAAGACCTCGGCGGCCCGATCGACCTTATCGCCCCGATCGGGATTGTGACAAATGCAAATGCCATTGTTTGAGAATCGCCAGTAGTTTATTAAATATTACGATTACGAAGTGAAGCGGCAAGAAAGGTGCATCGCGACCAACTTGCTGCATGCAACAAGCCAACTACTTATATCAACTACAATAAAAACGAGTAATGTAACTGGCATGCAAATAATTTCAGGTGCTACCTGCTGCTACTCTTTCTTGATCTTTCTGAGCATTTGCTATTCTACGTTTAATTAGCTACGCTGGCAGACGGGCAGAGAGTCCTCTGTCGGTTTTCACTTTTAAGCCTTGATATTTTCTACATTTGGTTTTTTTTTTATGTATTTTGCCATTCTACTACATATTCAACTTTTTATGAGCATCATATTACGAAACGGAAATCCTTTCGGTTTCATAGCGAAATTCGCTTATCTTCCGCACTTCCTCAAACCTTTTCACAGTTCCACACACCAGCCTGAACGATCCTAACAAGATTAATGAAGGGGGTGCAGCGGCAAAAAGGACACTGCCGCTTGCCGCAGGTCGTTAGCACACACACACACGCACAATCATGCACGCACAAGGATCTATGTGTAAGGATACACCACCACACATTTTGTTTGGTCATTGTCCTTTTTTGCGCTAGGCAAATAGTGACGTCGGCGATTTCGTCGCCATCCTTAATGTCGGCGTCTGTGGCGGCGTCTCTGCTACGGTTACCAATTTATTTTCATTTTTTATAGATATTGTATGTACCTGTGCATGAAATCCAATACCATTAACTATTTAGAGCCGGAAGTTTGTACATTTATTTGCTTTTTTATTGCATTCACCAGTCTGGAACCCTTTGGCATCTTCCGCCTGGCAGGCAATCCTAGTGCAGCGCTTGATGGTCAACCGTCACCTTTCCCTTTCCTGTGATATATGAAACGCACTCCTCTAAAGATACATCTTTAACCTTTAACCCTTCTTGCATTTCATCACTACTGCTAGTTTTTGTGGCACGTACATATTTTAATTGGGAGTATCGGAAAATTTATTTAGTTTAGTTTTAGGGATCTACTCGAACATCTTTGGGACCAATTTTTTCAAAATATAAAATATTTTAACCACAAAAAATACGAGAAGTGGAAGTTCAAGAAAATAATCTATAAAATATGTAAAATATATCTTCTTTGCTTGTTTACTCCACTTTAGCTTTGAAATTATATTTCATCTTTTATTATTTCAGTTTTTTAATCGTAATTTGCTATTTTATTGTGATCTTACTTCTTCTTTAATTTTTATTGCTATTTCTTCATCTTCATTTCTTTTTTTTTTTTGTTATGTCTAATAAGGTCTCTGGCTACCCTCTGCTGTGCATCGGGGCATAGGTGGCCGTTTGGCAAATAAAATTCCCCCACCGAGTCGGATTCGCTAAAAGATATTTTTGTAATTTCTGTAGGCTTTTTTTTATTCTTAAGTTTTATTTAGTTTAATATTTACTGTAATGATTTTGTTATCTTTTCAGCTTAGTTTGTTGATGAAATAATTAAATAAAATAAAAAGGATAAATGTTAGAGATGAACTTTTTAAAAAACTCTTCGTATTTATAGGCCCCCACTAATCCAAAAAGAGTTTATTGATATTCGCTCAAAAGTGATTTTAAAACATAAAAAAATCTGTAGATTATAGTATACTGGCAGCTTAAACAGCAGATTTGTCCGAACAAGAGATGTTATCAATTGGGCTACGCTTTTCTAACCAAGGTTGAGTGCTAATCCGGCAAGATTTCGCTGAATTTGTTGAGCTGAGGGCTATGAACGCTGAAACAATACCTACCTGATATAAAAAAAAGCATGATTACAGAAATGAACCTTTTTTGTGGGAAATAGCTGGAAAAATAGGAGGAGTCCATTCCCTAAAAGCCTATATTTTCGCCAACCACAGGTTACATTTTCTTTTAAGCGATTTAAATTCTGTTCCTCGCACATTCGAGCCACAATTTCGACATTATACACTTTTTTAGGAATTGCCAAATGTTCACTCGATTTGTTAAAAGTTTGTCCATGTATTAAATCTAAGTATTATAGCATTCTTCTTCTACTTCTTAGTAAATTTAATGTATTCACAAAACACTTGAAATAAATACGCCAAGAATAGTGGAAAAACACCAATTACATCAGCTCATTGACATATATTACCAGAGTCATATATTTCCAGGGTATACAAACAAAAGTTAAATCAAATTAAATCGTAAGTGAATAGCCGATTATGTTAATTTCTCCGATGGCGCATAATATTAAGTAAAAACGCAAAAACAACCCAAAGTACGGGAAAGTACATTAGTGTCAAGGTTTAATGCGTTGCTGTTTTTTTTTTTTTTTTTTTTTAAATTCGCTAAACCACATTAACAATTATAGTATATGACTAATTAGTATAATCAATAAATCATCACTCTATCTATGTATTCGGCGAGCATATAAATGAAGAATTGATTTTAAAAAACATACAACTATTCCATTATCTAGTTTATTAAGGAACTGTATAGGAAGTTTCGGTGTTCATTCAAATCATTTGTTTAGATCGAAGATTTTCCAATATGTATATACACTTACTATATACTATATGATTCTTCGTATCGTCGTATGTACGACTACCTCTCCGGATATTCAATGTTTATTGAAAACACTTCTGTGTTGTCTGTAGAACGAGTGGAACTCTATCGAATCACGAAATATTTAAATTTTTGCAGTTCTTAAACTGCTTTTGCTTTTCATATATTTTTTAAAAACTTTTTTGGGTTTCATAAAAACCGTGTGACTTATGCAATAAATATTTCACAAAAAAAAATCACATTATAATCTAGAGTTTTAAAAAAAAGAAAGTGTATATGTATGTAAATATATTGGTCACCACCCGCTTATACCAAAAAATAAACAAATGAACTTCCTCTAAATTTTTCAGTGCACGCGTAACTCATGTGATTGACTCTCAGGCTAACTGGTTGGATGCTGGATAGATTAGGTTTTGGTTTCGATTTCGGTTTCGGCTTGGGTCCGTGCAGCGGTTCAACAGCTCATGGTTCATGGGGATATTCGCATAGTTCGTTGGCTCGTGGTCAATTTTTTCGTTCGCGTTTTTGTTCTTTCGCCGATCCTCAGCTCTGCCGCAATGAAGGGCTAGTTGTTATATATATGTACAGTTAAAGTTACAGTTACAAGCAAATACTTAACGACATATTATCACACAGCACTGCGCGCCGTCTGAGCTTACTTTTTTGTGGGGGGAGGAGGGGGGTTGGCTGCTATTGAATCTTTGGGGACTCGAATCTACGCCACCACCTGGTGCTTGCGCGGCTCCAAAGACACATTGAAGCCATTCTCCAGCTTCAAAATGATATCGGCCTGCAGCTTGAAGTCCGCCTCCGTTTCGGTCGAGTGCACAATATAGTTACGTATGATGGTCGAGAGGAGGACCTTCAGCTTAAGCATTGCATACTTGCGACCCACACAGCTTCGGGGTCCGGCACTGAATGGAATGAAGCTGTAGTAATGGCGATTGGCCATGCGCTCTGGCAAGAAGTTGTCCGGGTCGAATTTGGTCGGGTTCGGGTAGATGTCGGCACGGCGGTGCACGCAATATTGCAGCACAACCACGGTGGTGCCCTTGGGCACCATATACGGACCACTGGCCAGCTTCACATCGTGATCCAGACGACGGGCGATCAAGGGTACTGGTGGGTACAAGCGCAGCGTTTCGAGTATGACACGCTCCAGATATTTCATCTCCATGGTATCGGCAAAGGTACAGTCGCGCAGCATATTCTCACCGAATATGGCCTTCTGCTCGGCATAGACGCGCTCTTGGATGTCCTTATGGATGCCCAGCATGCAGAGCGTGAAGCTTGAGCCGGCCGATGTGGTGTCGTGACCCTCGAACATAATAGTGTTCACCTCATCGATGATGTCCTTCTCGTTCCACTCAATTTCGGGATTCTTGGCCATCTCCACCATGGCGTCCAACAGGGCCAAACGACGCTTGGCACCCACATCGTTCTCATCAATGTCATCCAGATCATCGCGCAATCCCTCCTTCGTTGCAGCCGGACGCTGTTTGGGGGTCTCCTCCACCTCTTCGACAATAGCACGTGTATCCGCTTGGAAATTCTCCTTGCGATCCTTTACCACCTTGCTGGTCATGCCCAAGATAATGCTCATCATCTTGTCGCCCTTCTCGCGCAGCTTGGTGAACTTGTAAATGGAGTCCAAGCGATACAGAAGCTTCACCTGACGCTTGTGGATGATGTCGCACATGTCGACGACGGCCTGGGCATACTCGAAGCTCTTGTTGCCTTCGGGCAGCTTCTTCACGCCCATGGCTGTTGAGAGGAGAATGTCGACGGTGGTCTGTGACATATAATCGTGGACATCGAACGGCTTGCCAGCCTCCTTGCGCATACGCTCCACCACCATCTTGGAGTGATCGACAAATGTGGGCACGAAGCTCTTCAAAATGCTCTGATGGAAGGTGGGTGCAATCATCTTGCGATGATGACGCCAATGGTGGCCATTACTAATAAGTAATCCATCACCGAACCAGGGCTTGAAGTAACGATATTCCTCCGCCTTTGTCAAATGCTGGTGTCCACTCAATATCAGCTCAATGTCACTGGGATTGGTGAGGAAGACGAGCAGCACGTTGCCCAGCCAGGCCTTCATTGTCTCGCCATATTTGTTCAGATAGCCCAGACCGACAGACAGAATTTCAGCATTGCTTAGACCTGCTGCCAAATGTGCCTGTCCCAATAATGGCAGAGTCGGTGGCATCGGTATATTGGCCACCATGCGGTACTCGCGACTGCTTCGGTGCCAATACTCGTAGAGAGCCAGCACCACCAGCGTACCGACCAAGCCTGTCAGCAAGGGGCTGAAGCCACCGCCACTGGCGGCGCTTTGCTGTGCAGCCTGCTGCAGTGTCTCCTGCACCGTTTCCACAGACATATCGATTAGATTCTTTCCCGTGCGGTCCTTGTGCTTTTAATCCAATCGTAATCCTTGTGCTTGTGTCACTTGTATGCTGCTTTGCTCTATTCTGCAACCGCTTCACAGCGCTGCGAATGTTCTACTGTGTCTTCGGTCTCGGCGTTTGGACAATTTTATGGCACAACTACCGCCTTGGACCTCGCACCATGGCAGGCCATGCGTCTAAGTAGACAAGTGTCAAGCATATGCGTTGCTTTCAAATTTGCAAAGCAAATTCCTCACCTACTCGCCACTTAAGTCGCTTCTCCAGCTCTACTGAGCCGCTGCCCTTTGAAAAAATGACGATGGAACGAGCGTGTGTGTGTGTGTGTTTGTGTGTCACTTGTCGTCGATGTCGTCCAAGACAGGGTTTCGTCTCGGCCGTCATACAATGTTTCCGGCTCAGCACGCGCACGCTGTTCCCAGCCAGAAAAGTGAAAACCCTGCATCTACATACATAGATATTAACTTAATATAATCGCTTAATATACTTATATTTTTCTTTCATGTCCCCCTTCTCATGTTGGCCAAATCACCATGATCAGCTGCAGAAAGGAGCTAAACGCATGCCTAATATTTAACCGACTTTGGACACTCTACGATGTATTGTACACGTATTTAAACAGATTTAAATGAATCGCAAATAATTCTGAATTTTTGTGAGATTTCGCGATATGTTTTTTGCTCTAACAAATTACTAACCCAAGCAAATACTGTAACAGATATCGTATAACACAAATATTCAGCGCAGACAGACTAGATATGCCGTCCAAAGAAGATTTATATAAAACTAATCATTACAGTTTTCAAACCAAAAAACAAAACATACAATTAGAAATTATTTTAAAACAAGAAAGGAATTCTAAAGTCGGCTCAACTCTTAAATACCCTGTACCACCCCACAAAAAAGAAATTTAATTCATTAATTAAATTAATTAACTAAATTAAATATAAAATATTCCATGCATGCATACATACATTTACATTTACATCAGAATCGTGCCTTATGCGTGTTTGTGTACTTATACATATGTATGTATGTGTGCATTGGGCCTGGTTATATGGCTATAACTTTTTTTCCAATCATTCTATCATAATGAAACTTGGTATACGGATATATAATCACTAACCTAATGACTACCAAATTTTAGTTCAAAATTCCAAGAATTACGGGAGTTATACAAAATCGTTAATAGGGGGGGGGAGTGGGGGGTTGGATCAGAAAAAAATAAAACTCATCCTTTCTCGCGCTCAGGAGAATCTGTATACCAAGTTTGGTTATTCTAGCTCTTATACTTTCGGAGATCCTTGCGTTCATACAGACAGACAGACGGACAGACAGACGGACATGGCTATATCGATTCGGCTTGTCATGCTGATCAAGAATACATATACTTTGTGGGGTCTACCAAGCCTCCTTCTGTGTGTTCCATGTGCACTCGCACAAAACTAATATACCCTTATACCCTTTGGGTACAGGGTATAAAAAACGTTTTGAATATTACTGAATTCATATGGGCGGTCAGAAAGAGCGAGATAGAAATGGTCATATGTTCTCCAACGTTCTTACAACGTTCCAACACCGTCTAATAAAACTATCAGACCTTAGGACAACCAATTTTGTCGTACAATAATCTATGTACTTACTTTATATACAAATCAGCTTAGTAATTATCCCTGCTTTTCTCATTGGGGAAAGGGGCAATATTAATATACTTGTCTATCCTTAAACATTAAGCCAATACGAACAGTTCTTTGGCTAAAAAAAAAAAAAAAAAAAAACATCCTTTAAAATATATATTCAGACAAATTTAAAACTTCAGTTTTATTTTTAATACAAAAAAAAATTATAACTTAAAAATAATCATTATTTTACGAATTGTATTTTTTTGCTAATAAATAATGATTATCGGTTATTTTGTAAAGTGAAACTCAAAATTAATCATTATACTTATTATGAGCAAATGAATAACATTAAAAAATAATTATTATTTTGTAAGTTTTTTTTAATAACACTTATAAAGATTACAGTCCCTGGTTTAAAGGCTTTAAAGATTTGCTTTATTTTACTAAAATTGTAATTTTAAATCATTTTTTTTTCGTTGCAACAATATTTGTATTCATATTCTCATACAGTTTGTCTTCAACAGTTTCTACTGTAAAAAAGAATTAAAAAATAATTATTATTTTGTAATTTTTTTAATAACACTTATAAAGATTACAGTTCCTGGTTTAAAGGCTTTTAAGATTTGCTTTATTTTACTAAAATTTTAATTTTAAATCATATTTTTTCGTTGCGGCAATATTTGTATTAACAGTTTCTACTGCAAAATATAATTAAAAAATAATTATTATTTTGTAATTTTTTTAATAACACTTATAAAGATTACAGTTCCTGATTTAAAGGCTTTTAAGATTTGCTTTATTTTACTAAAATTTTATTTTTCGTTGCGGCAATATTTGTATTGATGTTCTCATGCAGTTTGTCTTCAACAGTTTCTACTGTAGCTCACGAAATCTAGCAACGAAATCGAGTGCATGTTTTGCTTCCGTCGTCGTCGTCGGCTGCTGCAGGAAGTATGCGCTGCCGTCACCCCCGTGTTCGTCCTGCTCCTAGCAATATGCAAAATAGTCGAATCCTACCTGTAAGTACGCGCAATCTTTAGCTCTGTGTGTGTGTGTGTGTGTGTGTGTCTCTTTCTGTTTCGTTTGCCAAAACGGAAGTAGGTGATGGTTTTTGCTTTTGTGCTGCTTTCGCTTTTCATTACGAATAACTTCAATTTCAGAACATTTTTGTTTCGCGGCCTTTGTTCGGCCGCGTCTACCACAAAACACCTGAACAAATGCCCTGGCCCATGGTCCATGTCTGAAAATTCGCCAATACAAAGACAAGGAAGCTGTCGCTTATCGTCGAGAGCATGAGCATGCCCTGCATTCAATATATATATATATTTTTTTGGCAGGCAGTGCGGTTTTGTCCATGTCCATGTACCATATGAGTAGAAGCCCTTTCTTCTATTTATTTGTGTTTGTGCTTACTATTGCATTTACAATTAAAATAAACGCGTGTTGGAAGCGTGTGTCAAGCCCAATACACACATACGAGTACATACATAATCAAATACAATATGTGTGGGCATATTTACATTCTCGTATATACATAGTACGATCCTCCTATTCAACGTGATCAAAAAATAAATCATTCATAGATCTTCGATCCATTTCCAAGCTATAAAGGTACTATAAATTGGGTTGGAGAAAAATAAATCAGTTTTTGCGCTCTTTTAAAATTGTATTATTTGTGGATAACTTCTGGTGGCTAACCCTTTTTTGTAGTCACCCAGAAAATTTAGTAATGACAAAAAATCACTTGGCATTAAAACCTCCCAAGCTCCCTAAAGTGTCCTACGAATTGTCCTTTTCTATTGGCCAACTATTAGCAATCGGTAGCTTCTGATTGTTGACAGTGGAGATCGCAATTCCGTGCTTGTTCGCATAAAGCAAAATCAACTCTTGGTAGGAGATTCCCTTAGATTAGATTCCTAAGATCCTGTCATTCTCTGGCATCATCTCTTAGGAGCTTCCCCTAATTTTTTCCCGTAGTACTATACTCCAAGCATAAGTTTTTATACTTTGAAAAGAATTTTCAATATTGTTAGCCAAAGCCAAAAATCTTACATTTAGCCTTAATAATAACATATATTTAACCATCTTCGAGGTTCCTGTGCGTGACCGTTTGTCGTTTATGGGGTCAGCCATTTCAACAACTATGTATTTCCGTGGAGAACAGACATTAAAACCATCGTTGAAAAACTCTTGATTGCCTACGACTAGCAAGCACGCCTGAGCAAACCATAACCAAAAATTGGGATAAAGTACATTCTCAAGCCATATCTGAAGAGGGTTTTCATTCATCCATTTAATTTGCATCTTCCCGTACATATAAGTGTTCGGTCCAAACTATGAAATTGAAATCCAAGTTCTTTGGGGAGTCTTAGTACCCTGAAATACTGTTGGAATGGCCTAATCCTGGAATAACTAATTTAAAGCATTGGTGGCATTGGTAAATGAAAAGTTACCCATTTTCTGTAGTCAACAATTCATGTTATATTAACTTTGTTAAATACATGTTGCGTTTTGAAATTTTGTAAATTATTCAAATTTGAGAGAGCTGTATGGCTTCATGACAGAAATACATACATTCAAGAAAATAAAGGTGTCTTGCACTTTTCGGAAGCAATTGTTTCAATGACAGCTATTAGACTTCAATTTCAAATACCTTTTGAAGTTTCAAGAATACAACTATTTCCTACCAAGATGTTAAAACTGTGTGTTGAAGGTAACTCGCAAATATTTAGTGAAACATCTAAAAAAGTTTAAATACACAACACCTTGCGCTTTAAAAAATGTATTCAGCTGCGCAGCCTTTGTTAAACAAGAATTTAAAAACTTTTTTTTCAATTTACACAGCAAGATATAATTGCATTGATGGATCTTTTCGCAAAGGGCGGCTCTGTTCCACTGAATTGGTAACGCATTGCAATAACCGCGTACATAAATTGTAAAAATTGTTTACGCATTTATTGAACTTTTGATTATTGCTTAAAACTAATAAGTATTATTAATTACACCTTTCGTTCGTATTACGATAAAAATGTGAAGATTTTGTGTAATAAATTAATAATTCTTGATGTGATTTATGTTTATGTTAAGCATATATGTATATATATGTAGTTATAATATAATATATATATATATATATATATATATATATATATATATATATATATATATATATATAAATTGTAATTTATACATAAATCGCTAAAAGTAAACATGACTTTTTTGAATTGCATTTAAACAAAAACCAGAACTGACGCATATCACTAGTATATATATATTTATAATTATGTATTTAAAATAGTACACATTTAATTGCATTTATTCTAATCCTCGGAATTATTTTAAAAATTAAAAACTAGCATTGTCTTTTATAAATTGAAATGAATTTTGGCAGACTTTCACATACATAAACAAATTTCGTGAGCACAACACAGCCGTGTTGCGCCCTTTGACCACAGATATTGTAAAAAAAAAATCAAATAAAATAAAATAGTATATGTACTTCAAAATACGAAATAGCAGGCGTTCCAGGCATTGTTGCAGTTCTTGCAGGCCGCCATACAATGTACACATATGGGAAGATCAAATAAACATTTCCTTTAAATATAAGAGCATAAAATCTGAGCAATGACACAATAGAGGAGAGGAGAGGCCAGGCATTTAGGCGGCCAAGCTCGAAGTATGGCATACATATTAGCAGTACATGAATAATGCTTAAAATTATAGAACAGGCGAGAGCGTATATCATGATGCATGGGGCGGAAAACAGGACGATTTGAGAGAAAAGAAAAGCATAAAAGTCCACTCTATGTACAGCACACTAAGCCACTGAAACACGCAATCACAATCACACACACACATACAGTTCCTAAGCGATTTAATATTGTCTACGCCGTCTCCGTAAGATGCACACAATGAGCATCCTGCATGAGTTGCGTCAATTTCTGAGTAAACGTTGGAATGTCCTGCAATAGGTAAGAAAAAATATAAATTATAGCTCGCGCACGTTTTTATGATTTCAACTTACACTTGTCTGGCAAATCTCTTCGAGCGCCGTTTGCGTCACCGGCAACGCTGCATTGGCAAAGCTCTCATGCAACTGCCTCCGGTCGACCTGACCCATCGCATACAGGGCCTGGGCAATCAAATCGAAATGCAACGCTCCCTCCCCAGTCAGTAGTAAATTAAGCAGCGCACGCTGAAAGGATCCCAACAACTGCTCCTTGAACAGGGCCCGCTGATACAGACGGCTACGCTCGTTCACATTCTGCATGGAGAGTAGCACACTGCGCACATTGCTAGGATCTGTTCCACTAACAAGCATTTGCCCATAGGCATTGAATATGGCCATAAAGTGTTCCGGGTGCAAATTGTCGCTGCAGTTAAAATTGTGCAAGCCATTACTGCCGCCGCCGTTATGACCATTCGTCAGTTGATTCTTATAGAAAAATTGCCACTTACAGGTGAGCACGCTATGGATAAAAACAACAATAACAAAAAACACTTAACAATCAAGTTTAACAAGCAACGCGTTTGCTGTCTCCCACCTGTCGAAGAGCGCATAGAGGAGACTAATGATCTCGCTACTGTCCGTTGCCACATGCTGTTGTTGCAGCAACGGCAGAATCTGTTGCGCGCTAAAGTCCAGTATCGAGGGCAACAGACCCAATGAAACACTTCCCGGCTGTTCGACAATCAGCTGAAACATTTGCAGCACCTTCTCCATGACTGCCAAGCGACTCAACGTCAATTGTTCCCTGCGAATAATTTTAAACACAAGTAAGAGAGAGATGGTTATATGGCAAGACTTACAAGAGAAAGGAATGGCAGACCAAAGACTTAACGATTGCTATAAAAAGAGGCAATATTTCGTCTTAATTTTTTCAAAAATTACTTTACTATAACTCAAGAAATATTATGTGCAATGAGATGTTTTTCTTTTACCAAGAAATAAAAAATAAAAGACCATCGACTCCATAAAACTTATTAATAAACTAGACAGTATGTTGGTCAGCCTCAGATCTGCATATTGTTTGTAAACGTGTGTCAGACCTACCTGCTGCTAACATTGATGAATAAAGTTATCATTTCCTTAATAAACTGTGCGCCCAGATGTGTGGGCAGTGTGCGGAGCATGCTCAGACTGAATTCAGCCACTGTGATGGCCATGGCAATGCTGCTCAGGCCATAGGTATTAAAGATCACCAGCGCCTTAGTTAGTATGGGCTACAAATGAAACAAATACATTGTTATTCAATTCAAAACAATTGTTTGAACAATTGCATGTGTACCTTGAATGTGCTGGCCAGCATGTCCTTGGCATTGCCACTTGATGCCTTGAAGTACTCAATCAATGCCGTGAATGTACCCAACAAACTGAGAGTAGTAGCCGCCACTTTAGTCTCTCCTGCTAGCGCCAAATCCAGCTCGAGAAAATGCTGCGCCAAGCCATCGATATATTCCCGCAGCATCCACAGCCGTCGCTGGTAGTCCTGTTGCGCCTCTGGCACACACTTCCACGGCAACACCATATAGCTCACCAAGCTGATCTGTATGTTGATGCTCACCTGACGAGGCAGCTGCGTGCCCAGGCGTGGGCCTGCCTGCAACAGACTTTGGATTTGCGCTATCTCAAGCAGACACTTGGGCCGTATCACAGTCGATATAAAGAGCAGCAGCTCGCTGGCCGCTTGCTGCACAATTGGCGAAACAACGACTAGGGCATTGTTGCACACAAATATGCTGCCCAGCATGGCAAAGAGACGATGCAGCAGCTCGTCGCTATTGAGCGTTTTCGACAGCGGAAAGATGCTACGTATGGCCAGCAAAACTTGAGCGTAACTAAGAAGAAAAGATACATGGAAACGCAGTAAAAAATTATTTAAAATAAGTCGAGTCGTTGAATCTATAATAGGTATTAATATATAGGTCCAATAGAAAGCAAAAATTAGTAAAAACTTCGCATCTTAATAGGCACATAAAGGCATTTAGACACAGACATAACCACGTTGACTTTTATAATTAAAAATATCCTTCAAATGTTGTCAATTGGAGAGGAGGGAGATAAGTGTATTTTATACTTACAGGTTATCTAAATCAGTCTGAAAGCTCGTCTTGTCCACATCGAAGCTATTGATTTTATTGTTAGCCAACAGCTGGAGCGTCTGCAATAGACTATCCGTCAGCATTTGCATCTGGCACTCCACCTCCCTGCTATCCTCGGGCGACATAGCACTAGGATCCATTAAAGGCGCTAATCTGACCACAGCCTGGCACACTGTCGCAAAATCACGCAAGTGCTCACCAAAACTGGCACATTTTAATTTACGCGCCACCTCCATCGGACGCTCATGGTCAAGCGCATGCTCAATGGATAGCAAATAGAGATGAGGGCGGGACCAGTGGCCAAAAACTTGCGCGAAGACGACATTGGCACCACGTGTACTGGCCAAAAGTGCTAAGCACTCGAAACATTGGTCCACATATTGTTGCCATTCAGTGGGTGACTGTTTGAAAAAGAATAGAAAACAAACAAAATTCCATGAAACGATTTGAGGAGTCACAAAATTTTTTAAATGCTCACATTATCCTCCATGAGCTCGTTATCCAGGAGCTCCAGCTCTGATTTATTATGTTCAAATTGTGTGCGACGCATTATCTCGGCTACAAGTTGCAGTAAAACATTATGATTACGCGTCATCTTGCCACCCTGCTGAGCTATACCTTTAATAATGGGCACCCAAATGTCCAGTTTCTCAGTAAAGTCTAAAGCGCCATGCTCTGAAAATAAACTCATTATATTTAGTATAATGGTTTTTTAAAAATCAATTTCTATAGTTTTAAGTATTGTCATGAATTTATATTAACTTTTCAGCTATCTTATCTTATCGCAGCATAATGATAACTTCAGATAAATAAGCGTCGATATGGTACATATGTATGATACAACTTAACATGGAATAGAAATAAACAAAACAGCTTTGTATACATATTTAACGATTTTGCTTTTCTATAATGTTTTCTTTTGGTTTAATACTGCTTTGTTATATGACATTTAGCAGCTATTTTAATGTGGGGTCTGTCTAGTTTTATAGTATTATTAAAATGGGTAACTACTACTTACTTTCAATGGTGCAATCATAGAGCGATTTGAGAAATGACTCGAGCAGTTCAGGCTCTAACAGGAGCTTGCCAGCATACTTCGTGGTATAGAGACGCAGCAGCTCTCGAAATTTATCGCTATACATTTCACTCTGCTGTTTAGTGGTATTGTGCTGTTCCAGCAGTCCGCTGACACCCGTCATGAGAGTACCCGCATATGGTAGGGGCTTTTGAAGATACAGCAGCTCATTTAGCACCGAGAGGGCGCCCAATGAAATGGGTTCGTGGGCTGGACGCCATTGCGATAGATCAAGTATACTCATTAGGAAATACTCCGAGATCAGGTCGGTGCGTATCCAGGAGACTAAATGCTGCACGCAGCTGAGCAGCTCCAGTATAGAGGAACTGTAACAGTCATTAAACAGAGAGATATTTGTGATTTTTTAGACATGCCTATAATAGGGTGGATAGAGTGTTGTCCAATCACCTACCTTAGTTGATTGTCATTTGGCAGCGCTGAGGTTAGACTAAAATCCATGAGAGTGTTTGGTATGGTCGTATGTATGTCTTTACCATTGATATGACAAACGGAGATTAGTAAATATTTGGTGACTAAGTCCATGACATCGGGTATACACATGGTAATGCTGAACACATAAACAAAGTGGGGAACGAAAGGTCCACAGGAGATAGACAGATATAATAAGTCACATTGAAAATAAACTTGTAAGCGCCTTTGCTAATATGTGAGCTTACCAGGAATAGAAGTACTGTTTCCATTCGGTGGTTAAATCGCCCCGATTGCTAACCACCTCCTCGGACGTAATACGAAGCAGATTAATACCCAGAGCGAACCGGGTTTTGGTCAACTCAATGCAATGTTGCACATAATTGGGATCCTGTTCGGGAAACTCACGTTTTCCCATCAGTGCGATCAACTGTGCTAATGTGTCGCGATGTCGTCGCGCACCGTTCGCCGCTGCCCCCAATTGTGCGTAGGTGTTCCATAGCGTTTCACGTAACATCGTGCGATCTGCGGCCGTCAAATGTGCCCAGCGCCGGATGATGGTGTGCTCCAGCGTCGAGGTACTAAAGAACCAAAGGAATTGATTCTCGGCAAAACTGTTGCTGGACGCCACGCGCAAGCACAACTGCCATGCTTCTGGTTGCGACTTGAACGCCAGCAGATTCGTTTCGATTTCACGTTTGCGCGCATTGCTCGTTGTCGGTTGATAAAATTCGTGCAACAGCACCTCCACCGACGTCATTGATGCAGCATGCTGTTGTATGATAAAAGTTAATTAAAGCACAAATGGGTGCGGTGTATTAGCAATAATGTAGCGGAGGCATAAAGAAATCGAGCTCTGAATCAGCAGTCAGCCGCCCTGTTGTCGTTGTCATTGTCAATGGTCGTGGGTCGTCATATTGGCTGTAGGAGGGTACTTACCATTTTCTCGGTGCGGCAGAACGTGTGCGCGACCCCCCCAAAGTGTGCTTGTGCTCAGTGCAATTGTTATAATTGCTGCAGAGTATTATTTAGATTAGCAGTGTATTTTAACAAATTTCATGTTAATTTTCTTTGTAACATCGATGCTGCTGATACCTTCAATCTGATGTATCGATAGTAGCCGACGGTTTTTAACTACTTTCGTTTACCAGCACTATAAAACGCACCAGTGGTGTCAGACTTATGCACCAAGTACTTTCGAAAATCAGCAGATAATAATTGATCCATCGTTGGTTATCCACCTGTTTGATTCTACTTTGTCCAATAAAAAGAATACTTAGCTGATTGCGCTATTTTTGTGAAGTCATAGCAAACAGGTGTTTTAGCAGTTTCTAAATATGTCGGCGATACCGCAATGGATAATCGTTGGCAACAAACCTAGACTTCGAAATATCGGAAGCATCGTTGCATCGATGGCCTTGTACATCACTAAACCGCAGTACAGTTCGAAATAGATTCGGAATCGAACGTGTTCGCGTGGCCGCTGCGCGCTGTAAGGTGAAGGCAGACTACTCAGAGAAAGACTTTTTCTAAGTGCTAAAAAATTGTATTATCTCGCAGTAAATACAAACAGCATTGATTAACTTATACCAGAGCGTAAAATAATTGAAGACTATTGCCGCAGCTAAAGCAAACACAGTGAAGGTAAAGCCAAGTCGCGCTGGTTAAGTAGAAATTCGTGCAAAATGAGTGGGGATGTGGCTGCTGAAAATGTAAGTAATTTCGAGACTTTTTTTTATTTTTATATAATTTTCCATGGCAAATGCATCAAAAGTGCAATCGTATTATATACATATTCGTATATTAATTAATTGTGTGTGCTGCTTAGTGCTCGGTTGGCGCATATCACAATGTAATCGTGCACAAATAGTATTCATTTGAATAAAAGCGTAAAAAGGTCTTTTAGTAATTTACGAAAATGGCGACAATGCAAGCACCAAAGCAAGCAGCCGCAGCAGTGGTCCCCCCCGGCATGATACCGCACAGTATTCCCCGTAATGGTGCCTTTTTTTTAGCACAGACACAAACCACGAATGCGACGACCAGACGTTTACAGTGTGTATTTGGCACAGGGTGCCAAAATCACATGTGTTTTTTGTTGTATCTATGTATGTAAAACGAAACTGTAACGCATTCATTTGCCGAAAGTACGTGCGCATGTACATATGTATGTATGTTATTTTGCTATATACAATTATTTAATATGCATACATTTTAATAGGCAACAATGACAATGCGCTGCTTAGATAATTCTTTCTACTAAATCAAGTAGTACATATGTATGTATGTATGAATGGCTATTATCACATATAGCAGTGCATGTACATATGTATATAGCTGCAATTGCTGTGCCACCCTGTGTCAGTACTTTAGGTGCAGTTGCCGCATTATTATGGCAATACTTTTAATCTTGATATGTACGACCGCACACATTAGTTTCCCAGACAGACTATTAACACATAAAATAATCATTAATCTGTAGCATGGCGCACGGTGAAATTATGATCCAAAAAGCGTAGACGTCACAAACTTTTTCTGTATTCCATTATGCCTATACATAAGTAAATATGTATGTATATGCATACATTTGTTTATATGTATATGTGCCATTGTTTGCATCGAAATGGTAAAGAAAACGGTGAGCAGGAGGAACATTTCCTGTCCGCAAAGCACTGCTTCTTCTTGCTTCCATAAATTTTCTTTCGCATCTGGCCACAGCAACAACAAAACCCATAATATTAGGGTTGATTTCCACCACGTGGTGTGTGCTTGTAGATTTCCCATTAGTTGGCGAAGCAAAGTAAAACAAAACAACACTTAAATGCTATCCAATTTTATAAATAATATGTAAATTATAAATCTAATAGTCGTAAATACATTATGTTAAAAGTGATCACACAGGTATTTGTTACCAACCACAGCCTCCGACGTGATACATTTCCTGATTTTCAAGAATTTCCTCCACTTTATCTCTCTTGTAGACTATCCACGCACAAAATGGTGGCAGCTGCGAAGTGCAATCGAATGGTGTGACCACCAATGGTCACCACCATAGCGGTAGTAGCGGTAGCAGTAAGCATAAATCTTCCAGCAAAGATAAGCATCGTGATAAGGACCGCGAGCATAAAAGTTCAAGCTCTTCTAGTTCCAAGGATCATAAAAGTAGCAGCAGCAGTCGGTAAGTCTCCGTAAGCTGGTGCTTTCAGTTGCACATACTCCCTACATCAGCTTCTTCAATTTGTTTGCAGCGATAAGGATAGACATAAGAGTAGTAGTAGTAGCTCTTCGAGCGGCAAGGATAAGCATCGGGATAAGGAGCGCGATGGCAGCAATTCTCATCGCAGCTCATCATCATCGTCGAGTCATCGCGATAAAGATAGCAGCAAGCACAAGTCCTCCTCATCGTCGTCCTCGTCCAGTCATCACAAAAGCTCGTCCAAGGATAAAGAGCGGCGCGATAAAGATCGTGATCGCGAGAAGGAGCGCAGCAGCAGCTCATCCAGTTCATCTAAGGACAAACACCGGGATCACAAGTCCTCGTCTTCATCCAGTTCGCGCGATAAAGACCGCAGTCATAAGAGCTCATCATCTTCCTCATCGTCGTCATCCAAAAATAAACATTCCAGTTCGAAACACAGCTCATCCTCGAAAGAACCCTCATATGATGGTGTATTTGTTAAACCGGAACCTGTTTCACAGCCGCCTCATGAAACCAACAACATTGATCCTTTGCACCATACCGCTCTGTACGATCCTGCCCCAGCCCTAAGCAATGGCATCGATGCCACCGACAACGGTGGCTATAAAAACGGCTATGAGGAGAGTTTCGGTGAGATTAAGAAGGAGGAGGAGAGCTTCAACTTATCGCAGGCCAGCTCCTGTGATTACTCTATGTCGCAGTTCAGAGCCGATGAGCCACCATTTGTGTTGAAGCAGGAGGCCACCTATACAGAGGACGATAGCGCATTGAACGATTTCGGCGAAGTAGATGATGAAGAGGATGTGCCGTTGGCTATGCGTAAACGCAAACAGGTGATCAATGATGATGAGGAGGAAAACGATGATGATGACATTCCGCTGCTGGCGCGCAAGAGGATCAAAAAAGAGGCCAAGGAAAAGAATAAAAAGAAGCGCCCCAAGGAAGAATTCGACGATGAAAATGGAAGTACTAAGCCCAAAAAGAAGAAGGTCAAAAAGGTAAGGAGCATAAGCCAAAACTAAGGGAGCTCGCTCAAAAATTCACCGTACATTTTGTGTTTGCATTTCATAGGAACCCTCCGATATTAAAGCAGAGCTTGTGTCTCCCACAAAACGAAAAAACAAAAAGGAAGAGGAGGAGGAAGTGTGGAGATGGTAATTATATACGATCATTTATTAAGTTGAAGGGACAATATAAATCGGGCAATCAATAATACAATAAGGGAACTTAATCAGCTACAGAACAGTAATCGCTGCCCACGCGAACGCAATTTAAAACCGTAATGTTGGCAATTGTTTTGTTTCATCCACATTTTTTGCTGCTTCAAGTTTTAAAAGTGCTGTTCGCATATGAGTGTACATGGTTTTATGTATGTGTGGAGTTTGAATGTCACTGACCTACATTTTGAAAGTCACAGTGGCAGCAGAATTTTTTTTTGCTATTCACAATAGTGCGCACACAAAATCAGCTGTTTGCCCAAATGGTCTTGCAGAAGGCATATTGAGGTTATGTCTCAGGCAAACGAAAATTACCTTTGCTTTGCGTAATTTGTGTGTGTGCCACAAACACACCGAACGAATGCAAATGGCAACAATAACAACATCAGCACTTTCCGTTATTGTTCGAAAGCGGAGCATTTGTCTAATTTTTAATAGCACTTATTGTGTGGCTATATCTGCTGCTCCATACGCTACAATTGCGAGGAATACAAAAAAAGTGGGCCACAAGTCCCCTACTAAAGCTAATAAATGCTCTACTTTGCATCTCTATTCAAGGTGGGAGGAGGAGAAGCGTGAAGATGGAGTCAAATGGTCGACGCTTGAACACAAAGGTCCCGTCTTTCCACCACTTTACGAACGCGTGCCACACAACGTTCGCTTCTATTACGATGGCAAGCCGATGGAGCTCTGTGAAGAGACAGAAGAGGCAGCCACATTCTATGCAAAAATGTTAAATCATGATTATTGCACCAAGGATGTCTTCAATAACAATTTCTTCAAGGATTTCCGCAAGACAATGACCTCGAAAGAGCGCGAGATTATCAAAGACTTTAGAAAGTGTAATTTCAAAGAAATGCACGATTTCTTCCAGGCCGAATCGGAGAAACGCAAAGCGGCAACAAAAGAAGAGAAGCTGGCCAAAAAGAATGAAAACGAAGCACTTATTAAAGAATATGGTTTTTGCATGATAGATGGACATAAAGAGAAAATCGGTAATTTTCGTTTGGAACCGCCAGGTCTATTTCGTGGTCGTGGCGAACATCCAAAGATGGGCATGATCAAGCGACGTATTCAAGCCTGCGATGTGTCCATCAATTGTGGGAAACACTCAGTAATCCCGACGCCACCAGCCGGTCAACGCTGGAAAGAGGTGCGCCATGATAATACCGTCACCTGGTTAGCCTCATGGGTTGAGAATGTACAGGGTCAGGTTAAATACATTATGTTGAATCCTTCCTCAAAGTTGAAAGGTGAAAAAGATCACATTAAATATGAGACAGCACGTCGCCTGGAAAAGTGCATTGACAAAATACGGGCCACTTATCGCGATGAATGGAAATCCAAGGAGATGCGTGTACGTCAGCGTGCCGTCGCACTATATTTCATCGATAAATTGGCACTAAGAGCGGGTAACGAAAAGGATGAGGATCAGGCCGACACCGTTGGTTGCTGTTCACTGCGTGTAGAACACGTGCAATTGCATAAAGAGCTCAACGGAAAAGAGAACGTGGTCGTATTTGACTTCCCCGGTAAGGATTCCATTCGCTACTACAATGAGGTGGAAGTGGAGAAGCGTGTGTTCAAAAATTTGGAGCTGTTCATGGAGAACAAGAAGGAGGGCGATGATTTATTCGATCGTCTTAACACACAAGTGCTCAACGAGCATCTAAAAGAACTAATGGATGGTAAGTGAAGATGTCTACACTACCTAAACACTTGATTGATCAATATGTTCTTGTGCATTATCTTTGCAGGACTTACTGCTAAAGTATTTCGTACATACAATGCTTCAATTACGCTACAAAATCAATTGGATCTGCTGACCGATACCAATGCATCTGTACACGAGAAGCTGCTTGCCTACAACCGAGCCAATCGTGCGGTGGCTATTCTATGTAACCATCAACGTTCAGTACCGAAAAGTCATCAGAAGTCCATGGAAAATCTGAAGGAGAAAATAAACGCCAAGCGCAATGCTATTGATGACTGTGAGGCCGAATATCATGTGAGTTAGAAACTGGGTTATGGGTTTATTGAGCCACAAAAGAATCAAAAACCATTTGTTATTGTTCAAAATGTATAGGATTTGAAAAAGGCCGCAAAACGTGGGTCCGTTAAGGAGAAGGTGAATGCCGATAAAAAGGCCAAACAATTAGAGCGTTTAAAGGAGCAGCTGAAGAAACTGGAACTACAAGAGACTGATAGAGATGAGAATAAGACCATTGCCTTGGGCACATCCAAACTAAATTATCTTGACCCACGTATATCTGTTGCTTGGTAAGCCAACAATCTATACATATCATGTCCATCCGCCTATTAATATGTTTGTTTTATTCGTAGGTGTAAAAAACATGGTGTACCGATTGAAAAAATATTTAACAAAACGCAAAGAACCAAATTTCTTTGGGCCATCCACATGGCCGATGAGAATTATCGTTTTTAAATTAGTCTGCTCCGAGTACACAATGATGGGTAATGAAACGGATCAAAATTTGCAGCTCGTTTACAAAAATCCAACAAAGCAACTCCACACCCACCAAAAAAAATCAACAGCTGACCAAATGCCCGATAGTGTAGCTAGTAGCTATTCTGTCGTATGCAGAAATTGTATATGTTCGGGATTATTGGGATGGTCTCGTTGCAAGTACGTGTGTTTGTGTACATGATGTATATGTATGCAATTAATGTACTACAAATATAGAAAATAACTAAAAATGAAAACTTTCAAACAAAAAAAAAAAAACAAAACAAAAAAAATGAAGAAAACACAGACACTCGCATTGACAGAGAAATAAGGGTTGGAGTGTGCCTGCAGTTGGTGGCGACACTTTTACAAATAGAACACAATCATATACAGACAGGAACGACAACATTTATTTATTCAAGTGGGCACTACGCTAAAGTTTAACTTGGCAGACACTTTTCACACAAGCAACCAACAATTGTCTAGCTGTATGTGCACCTCCACCTTTATGAATATTTGTATATTGATTAAAATGTAAAATTCTTACCTTTAAAGCTGTATGAAAGAGTTACACAATTGAGATAATACTTTTCACTTATTCTATGTTTACTTGTAGTTGATTTTTGTTTAGCAAAAGAAGTTTTTTTTTTTACAAATATATATATATATTTATATATATAGAAGAGAAAAATCACATATGCATATATAATAATTAAAAAAAACTAATTAAATTACCATTATTATTACATATGATATGTATGTATGGTATATGTACATTAAGTTGTAAGTGCAGAGAACTTAGTAGCCCACTTTAGTGTAGCATAATTTATTGAAATTGAAAACAACGTTGAGCGCAAAACAAAATAAGCGGCGATACCGCAGCTGCCGTTGCCGGAAATGCCGCAATGGCTGGGACGCTGCCACTCTTTTAGCATCAAGAGGAAAAATTAACTAAAACAAGAAAAAATCAAATCGATACATATAAAACAATACATATTATGTATTTATTTTGTACCACACACACAGACGTAAGTTGTACCCTTACTTGTGTACTTTGATTTTTTTTAAACAAGCCAAGCGTTTTACATAACGTTCATTGATTACCAAAATTTCTTTGCGCCTGTAAAAAATAAATGTATATTTTTAAGTGAGATTTTTGTGGCCGTCATTAGAATTTTATATCATTACCATATACACACATACCTAACCATTAATATGTATAAAAGCATAGATTATACATAGACAGGTTTCAAATTCTGTTTAATTTAGAAGACACACAGAGACACAAACAACAATAATATAAAATGCTAACAATCAATGAACCAAAAGCAGCAGCGCAACAAGAATAAACAATGGTTACAAACAGTCGAAAATAAAATTAGGCTAAAAAGTGTATACATATAGATTTATAATACGTGCAATTAAGCTAAAAGAAAACGAAAATAAATAGAAAAACTGTAAAAACTCAACATAAAGGCACTTTCAAAATGCATAAAGAAAACCTTGATTTGAAAAGCAAAGAAAAAAAATCAAATGATTTGGTCAAATGATGTATGTATGTAGTTGTATTTTAACTATGCTAATTACTGGTAGTGTGCGTATGTATAAATGATGCACACACACACAGACACACATATATGTATACTCAACAACATATTTACGTAAATGTTGCATTAAAATAAATTTGAAAAGAGAGATGTGAAAAGGCCCCCCTTAGCATAAATTTTAAGAGAGCTAAACGTTCTAAAATACTAAACCTACATATATGAATTCAATCGTAATTATATACACGCATAAATATGTGCGCATAAATACATACACATATGTCAAAGACCCTCACACATACACACATTTTAAAAATAAATTTAATTTTAATTGTCGTAACGCTTTAAAAAGGCAACATGTGCGATAGTGTATTTTCACTCACCAACAAGTTGAAACACACACACACACCTACACATCCAACTAACTCACACATAAACTGGCATATTATATTATTGATATAAGCAAAACCACAAAAGTGAAGCCGAAAAATATAAACAAAAACTATTTTAAAAAACAAATGTACTTCTAAGCTAAATGTAATGGAATGATGCAAATATAAATACAACTTATATTTAAAGCAAGATGCGTTTCAATTGCACTCAGGCAACCAATGACACGTCCTTATCGATATTGGGAGTGTATGCTTTATTGAAAATCGCTTAGCCAAAACTGAATTGAAAATGCTAGAGGAGCAATGTTTGAACATGAATACCGAGACCACTTTATTGTTTTAAAAACTAGAATAGTTCTTACATTTTTAAGTTTTCTTATGAAATATTTCTTAAGTAGTTTTCTTTTGCATTCAAATATTGTATATTTTCCACAAATTGCCTCTATTTCACGTTTTTCTTTTTCTTTGTTTATTTAGTTTTTTTTTTTTTTTATAAAATTTTAGTATTAATTTCAAATTGTTTTATTGAATTAAATGATCTTGCAAATGAAGGTCTTGAGTATTGAACGTTTTAGAATTTAATGAAAATCTAATATAAACTATCAATAAAAGAATAATAATTTAAGTTTTCAATTGAGATGTTTTATCATTACGCCTGTTCTGTTCCTATTTTCGAATACAAACTATGCAAAATTCTTAATTCCGGAAACTATTGTGTTTATTGGCCTGAAGAATGGTTCGTGGAACTAGTGATTCACTCGTGTTCTAAGACCTCTTATACCCGCATCCACTCCTCTGAAATAAACTAATATAAAGAATAATAAAAAAATACCTGGTTTGGTTACGAAGTCATTATGTTGTGATTTTTGCCCAAATCTTAATCCATGCTTAGAAAAAGTACATAGCGCAACAATTTTGATTTTTGTGCTAATCGTTTCTAGTTTGATTAATCTATGTATCTGTTATGGTTCTATATCGATTCGTCTTGATATTTTAAAAATTGAATGCAAATGATTATTTATTAAATATATTTAAATTTTAAGTGGAACACCTTAGGAACCAGCTTTTAAAATGTCGGGTATAATATTTGAGTTTACCCGGCGGGCTAGGCGTTAGACATCAGTTGGGCTATAGAAGGCCCCGACTTGTTTATTAAAATCCATATCTCCTGGCGAAAAACCCAAAAATGATTCGTTTACCGCGTCGTGATGTCTTCGCACCGTTTAAATGGCGACTCTGTCGGCATTACTGTAGCGCCAATCAGGAACATATGAGCAAGGATCCGCCAGAGATAAAGGTGTGTCATTTAGTATTTTTGGTGATCTTTCTATATACATATATAAACATCTGTTGGTGCTCCATCAGCAAGTGCTTGAACTGAATCCACATGTTCAGAAAAACTGTACCGTACTGCCGACATCTGTGATCAAGGAACAGCGGAAGTGTTGGATGCGAGTTCGCGAACGGGCGCTACAGGAACGGCCATCTCTGCTAAACAACTTCGAGGATGTAAAGGTTCGCACATTGTCGGAACGGGCCGCACTCAAGGAGGCCGCCCGCTGCCTTAAGTGTGCTGATGCGCCTTGCCAGAAGGCCTGTCCCACTCAGTTGGATATTGCAAGCTTCATCTGTTCGATTGCCAATAAGAATTATTATGGGGCGGCCAAGGCCATTTTCTCAGATAATCCGTTGGGTCTGACCTGCGGCATGGTGTGTCCGACCAGTGACTTGTGCCAGAGCAGCTGCAATCTCCATGCCACAGAGGAGGGGCCCATCAACATTGGCGGACTGCAACAGTTTGCCACCGACGTGTTCCGACGCATGGGTGTGCGTCAAATCCCTTCGCCGCAGGCAAGTAAGCTGAAGAATTCGGACAAGAAGATTGCGCTGGTGGGAAGTGGACCGGCCTCTCTGTCCTGTGCCAGTTTTCTGGGTCGCTTGGGTTACAAAGACATAACCATATATGAAAAGGATGAGTTTTCGGGCGGACTGTCTGCATCGGAGATACCGCAGTTTCGTCTGCCCATCGAGGTGGTCAGGTTTGAGGTGGAGCTGGTCAAGCAACTGGGCGTGAAGTTTGAGCTTGGTCGGCAGCTGCGATGTGGCGATCTAACGGTAACTAAACTGCTGGCCGATGGCAACGAAGCGATCTTTCTCGGACTGGGTCTACCCGAGCCCGTTTCCAATCCCATCTTCAAGGATCTAACAGCAGAAATGGGCTACTATTCCTCCAAAACATTCTTACCAGAGGTGTCGCGCGCCTCCAAGCCGGGCATCTGTGCGGGTTGCAAGAAAAAGAAGACAGAGCTGCCAAAGTTGGAGGGAACTGTGGTTGTCATTGGCGCCGGAGATACCGCCTTCGACTGTGCCTGCTCGGCACTGCGTTGTGGCGCCAAACGAGTCTATGTGGCCTTCATGACCGGCACCTCTTATATCCATGCCGTGCCCGAGGAGGTCGAGCACGCCGTGGTCAATGAACATGTGGAACTGTTGCCCTACATGCTGCCCACGAAAATTGTTGTGTGTGATGACAAGATTGCCGGTGTGGTATTCAATCGAACCACTCAGGACAGCAAGGGGAATCTGCTTAAGATAAAGGGAGAGACTGCAAGCATTCAGACGGACTATGTGATTTCAGCTTTCGGATCCGCGCTGGGCACCGGCGAGGTGAAGGATGCGCTCTTTCCACTCGAAATAGACAAGTCGAACCGTGTGAAGGTGGACAAGATGACGCTGGCCACCAGCGTGCCGAAGGTATATTGCGGTGGGGACTTGGCCGGAATTAGCGGCACTGTTGTGGAGGCCGTCAACGATGGCAAGGTGGCCGCCTGGAACATGCACCTGCAGCTACAGGAAAAGAAGCCGGGCAGTGAGCCACCCATGTTGCCACTTTTCTACACGGAAATTGACAAGGTAGACATATCCGTTGAGGTGGATGGCCTAAAGTTCCTGAATCCCTTCGGCTTGGCCTCAGCACCACCCACAACGAGTCCAGCGATGTGCCGTCGTGCCTTTGAAGAGGGTTGGGGCTTTGTGGTCACCAAGACGGCGGTGCTGGATAAGGATGAGGTGACAAACATCTCGCCGCGCATTGTCAGTGGCACCACCTCGGGCTATCACTATGGTCCGCATCAAGGTGCGTTCATGAATATTGAGGTTATATCGGAGAAGAAGGCCGAGTATTGGTTCTGCGCCATTTCGCAGCTGAAGAAGGATTTCCCAAAGCATATTGTTATCTGCAGCATCATGTGCGCCCACAATGAAGAGGATTGGACGGAGCTGGCCAAGGCGGCCGAGGCATGTGGGTCGGACGCCCTCGAACTTAATCTTTCCTGTCCCCATGGCATGGGTGAATCAGGTCTAGGCCTTGCAACTGGCCAGGATCCGGCAATTGTTGCCGATATAGTGCGTTGGGTTCGCAGTGCTGTCCAATGTCCTTTCTATGTTAAATTAACGCCAAACATTACGGATATTGTGAACATCGCGATGGCTGCAGAGAAGGAATGTGCCAATGGCGTCACAGCCATCAATACCGTCTCCACTTTGATGAATTTACGTGCAGATGCCACACCTTGGCCGGCTGTGGGCAAAGAGCAGCTAACCACCTATGGTGGCATGTCCGGGAGTGCAGTTAGGCCCATGGCCTTACGGGCTATCTCGGCCATAGCCAAGAAGCTGCCAAATATCACTGTGGTGGGCACGGGCGGGGTTGAGTCGGGCGAGACGGCTTTACAGTATATACATGCAGGCGCTTCCATTTTGGAGATTTCCTCGGCAGTTCAGAACCAGAACTATGCCGTAATCAGCGATTACTGCTCTAGCTTGCGGGCGCTACTCTATCTGAAGGCTAACCCGCCCCCGGGGGATGGCAAATTTTGGGATGGACAATCGCCCCCGCAACCATTGCACCAGAAAGGCAAGCCCACGACACCGGTAAAGAGTGAAAAGGGTCAGGCACTGGGCTACTTTGGGCCCGAGCTGTGGCAGCGCGAGGCACAGCTGGACAAGATGCGTAAAGAGAAGGGTCCCATCGTTGATGCACCAAAACCGTCAGCTGATGAAAAGCAACAACCGGCAGATGAATGCCAGAAACCAAAGCCAGCACCCAAGCTGAAAGATGTTCGCGGAGCGTCCCTCAAATATATTGGCACCTACATGAGTCTCGATCCCAAGCAGCAAAAGGTGGCACTGATCAATGAAGATCTGTGCATCAATTGTGGCAAGTGTTACATGACCTGTTGCGATACCGGCTACCAGGCCATCACTTTCGACAAGAAGACCCACAAGCCCCTGGTCGGAGATGATTGCACCGGCTGTTGCCTCTGCTATTCCATTTGTCCCATCATCGACTGCATCAGCATGGTGCCCAAGCAGATTCCACATGTCATCAATCGCGGCAGCACCAAGCAGGTCCTCGAGCAGGCTTCGGACAAAAAGTAAACCGGAAAAGTCGTTGAATAATACTTGTATGCTAAGGTTCCATATTTTGGGTAGATTGTTGCTAAAAAATTCGTTTGTTTTGCGTTTCATAGAGTCGATCTTTTGATCTGAAATAAAATCGTCTTTATTTAGGAAACGCTTCCAATCTTCAATTGTACTTTCCCACCCATCACAAAGGAGATCCTAACATTATGGGTTCAGGATTGAATCTTTTGTTGTATGACAATCAAAATAGCTTGTTGTACTAGGCGTACAGAAATCATAGCCCAGATAAGTATACGTACTTATAAAGCGAAAGTAAACAAACCCGAAGTGCATTCGTTCAGTTGTGCACACAAACGCACACACTCGCGAAAACGTGGACTGAAGACGCTCCCCCAACCCCACCCCCACCACCAACACTTTTACTTTTTAGTGACCTTCTGAATGCGGAACAAACTGATATTACAGTCGGAGGGAGAGGGAAGAACAATTTGTAGAAATCGGCAGAGAAGCTGCGCTGATAAGAGCTACGTACACTTTTGCTTTCTATTGTTTGCAGTGTAGATCCAGAACTTGTTAGGGACTTATGTTCGCCTGGTGCGCTTATCGGATTAATTCCGAGCCTAAATTTAAAACTGATTCTGCGATTAGTCTTTTACGATGTTGTAAATATTATTCCAATAACTCATCGAACTTTCGGATGCTATGCATCTATAATGTACAAGTACATAGGTATACAGTCAAGCTGTTTTTATATGCTAGGGTACATAGCTTTATTATTTCGCCGGCAACTACGGGTATTATAGTCCACTATTTTCGTTCAAACTAGTGTTTTTTTAATAACCCATCTACTGGAAACAAATCAACCATCCATTCCCGATAAATAGGATTTGTACAAAATGCAAATGAAACTTACTAGAAGGCATCTATGGAATCGAATGAACAAAAAAAAAAAAAAACATCTCACGTGAAAATCGCAGCACCTTATCGGAAGATCCCGTTGAGTTCAAGAACTAGCTTATTGGAGAGAAGGCTACTCTTGGAAGATTCTTCAACGAGGAGGCAAGGCTTCTTTTTTGATTTTTGAAAATTGACAAGTCTGCAAAATATAAACGGAGAGCGAATTCAACGAAAAACTGCGAAGCAAACAGAGAATGTGATTGCGAGATGAGCAAAAGACAAGTCTTCTGGCTACGGTCTAGACTAGGCACAAAAGTGCAATCACAGTCAGCACATAGCTAAGTAGGCCTATTTTAGATAAAGAAGTAGGAGCCTGAGGCGTAACTTGTGGTGAGACGAGCAGCCGGTGAGAGTCGATCCGTTCGCCAGAATAATTGTTAAATTAGCCACAGTATTGTTGAAGAAATGATTATAATATAAGGAAGATAAGTACAAGCGACAAACGAAATCGGCGTCTATAAATTTGTTGTACCTTCCTGGAGCAGCCCTAAGCTTTCCCAGCTTTCAGTCCAGGCATAAAAACGAGACATCACCAGGCAGCTAATATAAAAAGGGGAAAGAGTACAGTTTGGCTCTCTTTAGAAATATATACACCTAATGCTATTTTTACACGGTTTTGATTGAAAATGAAAAATTGTATATATGGTTGCACGACTTTATTCCATTTAGCTCGATTCAATATAACATATGGGCAATATATTTTTTTACGCTGTTTTTTTTTTACACGACTTTTTTTGGAACCAATCCACCGTGTAAAAACAGAATTAGGTGTACTATACTTTCAATGCTAAAATATGTTGGGGATATCGAAACTGAAAAGCACACCCGTTTGCATTTTATAAATATATTTCATATATGTATTTTTATAATTATTGTTTTTCTTTTAATAAGTAATCAAACATAATTTCGTACAATTTTTAAGTATTAGCGACTAAGTTCAATTGTTTTTAAAGTGTAGAGCTTGACGAGGGGACGAAGGGGGGTGCATTAATGTGGATGACGCACGGCCAAATATATAACAAAACTGATGCATAAATATAAAAATAGTTATAAAAAAATTCAATATTGACAGCTTTAAAAACTATTAAAATACGTTAAATAGTTAATGCGATATATATAGCATACATATAGTACATATATAGTACATATATAGTATATATATATATAGTATATATATCGTATATATATCGTAAATATATATATTTATAAAAAATTGGGCGTTACATTTGCTCAAAAGTGTTTGTTGTTGGTGTTTTGTTAATGTTGTTGTTGTTTTTTATTTATTTTTTAAATCTTTTTTATATTGTTTAATAATAAAAATTGGATGCAGCGTTTAAAATAAGTGCCAAAGTTTCGCCTTAGAACTAGCAATAAGTTGCATAATTGAATTGTTGTGTTCATGCGTGTTCGGTTCGTTCATCAAGTTTGTTTAATCTTCTGTTATTATTGTTCATATCAATATGTTTATATAATAGATATATATATATATATATAAATATAAATAAATTTATAGGAATATGTCTTGTTGTTGCTGTTGCTGTTGTTGTTTTCGTTTTACGCATTTTCTTTCTTCGTTCTCCTTGTGTTGTCCACACGTTCGTGCAACACCCGTTTATGAAGCGCGGTGGCCCGTTTGCGTTTTGTTTTGTTGCGGTTCCTTTCTATTTTCGTTAAATTTTAAAAGCATTACACATTAATTTCGCGTTTAAAATATTTATATGTATTTGCATGCGTGTGTGCACACATATTTTCTGCATGATTTCTTTTTTAATTATAGTTTTATTATTATGTAATTATAATAAATATGTATGTTCTTTTTTTCGTTTCTGGTTTTGTTATTACTTTTCCCTTATGTGCTTGATAGCTGATATATTTTTGTATTTCATTTAAATTTCATCTTTTTGTTTTTTTTTTTTTTTGTTTTTTTTTGTTGCTCTTCAACTGATGGAAATTGTTACTTCTTCAATATTTATTCTTAGCACCCACAAGTAGCGTGCAGGCAAACGGAAGGACTCGAAAGGACATATTTTTGTTTGCTCTGCTGCATTGTGGTGAACAATTGTTGTTGGTTTTGTTTTTATTATTATTATTGCTGTTGTTGTTGTTGTTGTTTTTGGTTGTTGTAAAAAACGTATAAAAAGCTAAATAGATTGTTTAAAAAATCTCTCTCTTCTTATGTATATATAAATATGTATATATAACTTTTGTTTATATATATACTATATGCACTGTTCACGCTTAAATTTTGTATGTAGGATAAATTTGTGCGACTTCTGTAGATGCAGTTGTTGTTGTTGTTGCAGTTGTTGTTGTTGTTGCAGTTGCAGATGTTGTTGCATTGCACAGCAAGCATTGTTTTTGGACACAGTCGACACACAGCATACACTTAAAAAAAACTTCTCTTGATTGAAATTGTGCGGAACGCGTTGTTGCTGTTGTTGTTGCTGCTGCTGCTGTTGTTGTTGTTGCTGCTGCTGTTGTTGTTGTTGTGTTTGTTGTCATTGTTTTTGTTGTTCCACGTACAACTGGCATAGTTGGCTTAAAATTCCCATTGTGTGGCCGAATCGCTGCCATCGTCGAGCAATTTAAAGGCCCCATTTTTGGTGGCGCCCAAATACTTGCCCTGCTGCGATCTGCAAGCATTCACAAAAACATAATATTATTATTGCAACTTTTAAAAGTTAATTAATTCAATTTTTTTTAAGGAGAAAGAAAATTTCTAAACTTTTTAAACCACTTCAATATTCATTAAAAATAAAAACTAGCTAAAGAGTGCGAGCCCATCTCTTGTATAACTTCCTTCTTGTCCCCTGCTCCTTGTCTGCTCTCTCTCCCACAGAGATTGTCCCTATTGGAGTTTGAAAGCGCAGAATATATATAGCACGAAATCGTGATAAGCTTGTTCTATCTATGGATAAGAGAACCTCAGACGCGTCTGGGGTTTCGTTGTTCTATGTCGTTTCGGTTATATCTTATACATTCTAAAACACACCAAAGGAGTACTTCAAGCAGCCCATCACCGAAGATTGAACTCATAAGACCCCCTTCAAGCAGGAAGGGAGTGCCGTCCGATCAGTTCAAGAACACCTAAATGGCACATAACTACAAATTCCTTTATTGGAAAAAGGAATAGATATGTCCAGTGCTGCCATAATTTTTTGAGAAAAAAGCTAGATTGTCCAAAAAAATAAAGCTAAAATAAGCTAAATCCAAGGCACAATAAGCTTTTAAATAAAAGCTGTTTTTAAAAACAATATTTTCTTGGTTAAATTTAAGGATATATATATTTTTTAATATTTTCATGTTTAATCTAAATTCTTATTTCACAATTTATAATAATAATATGGGATTCTTGTAAAAATAATAATAGAAAATTGACATAAAATTGAAGTTAAAGTTGAAAATTTTTAATTCTGTACTTGATTTATGAGTTCATGTAAACTTACTGCGTCAGGATAATAAACGAGGTTGCTTACTGACACTTTGTTTAAAAACTTTAGATATTTCTTAAAGCTTATGAAAGAAACAGCTGATGCTCAAGCCTCGAGGTGATTTTGATAGATTTTATTATCGAAAGTAGCGATCATTCATGATTTTGTGTCTTGACACAGATAAAAATATATATATGGTGAAAAATAAAGTTAAGAAAAGCTTAATAAATTTTTTTTAAAGCGAGAATTGCCGCAACCCCTTGTTTTCGAATTTTTCCGGCACTGGCATTAAAAAAAAACCATATCTGGCGAAAAAAAGCTAAAATGACAGCACTGGATATGTCAATTTTAAAGAGGACGACTCTCACCAAACAATCTAAGCATTCGCTCCCTCCTCCTTGCCAATAATTCTGGCAGAAAATTATCCTTTAATATCTCCCACTGTTTCCAAGAATTGTCTTTCTTTAAGTTTAGATCTTATGTATGTATATAGGCAATATAATTTCTTACCTTATGCAAATTCTGGTGGGCTCGCGCAGCTCCAGGAAGAAACCATCGCTGGGCGCATCGGCATCCACCGAAATGCTCTCGCCATCAATGCGCCAATACTTGCCGCTGTGCGCCTTGAGGTGTACCAACCCCTTCTGGGCGCGTTCCACCAATATGGTCTCATAGGTGGCCTTGTTACACTCCAGTTTCAAATTGCCAGGCGTGCGATAGCCAACAAATCCCTGCTCGCACTTCAGCACCAAGATGGGCCTGTTATCAGAATGGAATGATGTTTAGAAGCGCTTACAATATATATAGACTGACTGACTGACTGACCTATTGATCAAATAGAAATAGAACTTGGTTATCTCCTCAATGGACTCAGAGGTAGCAAAGAGATGACCGGAGCGTTTGGTGGCCAAGAACTTGCCATTGTTGGCACGGAACGAGAGCGATCCGTCGCCATGCCAGATGAGTTCGAAGAGTGCATCGGCGCAACGACGATTGCCAGTGGCCTGAATACCACCGCCGGCAGACAAGCACCAGTATCGGTCCTGTGTGGTGCGCAAGGCCCAGCGATGCGCCGACCAATCATACTCCAATTGGAATGTCTCGTTCTCGCCCACCTCGTCCTGGTTGGCGGTGACATCGACGCCCTGCTTCACGGACACGTACCGCAAATTGAGGCCCGCAATGAACGAGGCCTGAGGCAGAGAATCCTCGAGCGAGAAGAGCTCGTCGCGTGTCACCGTCGAGGAGCGCGACTTAAGCACAGCCTTTGAGCCAATTGGCGACAAATACTGACCCTGACGATCGCGCAGGGCCAAATGTCCTCCATGATATTCGGCACTGAACAAACAATCATCATTGCACACCACCTGAAGTTTGCCATTGGCATTCAAATATCTGCAAAAGGTGGATATAGAGGGTGTTACACATAGAATAGAATTTGATCAATTACCGATTTTTAGTCTACATGCGAGTAGTTCTGATAACTTACTTATTGTTGCACGTGTGGAGCGCATAGCGACCGCCCTCCTCGGCACGAAACTCGAGGGTGAAGAGAGTGTCCTCGCCCCATGGTATGTTCGCATCCACATGAATCTCGTCCTGCGATTCGGACAAATGGGCAAAGCGCTTGCGTCCAATCGATCGCAGATTCACTTGCGGCCTAGCGGCCAAATGAACGGTCCAGAACTCACTGGCCCCGGGCGTCTTGGCCGTGCAGACGAGCTTGTCGGGGGTGCCCCCCAGAAAGTAGCCACGCGACTCGTTCTTTAGCGCCCAGCGACCGCTTCCATCCTCGCTGATGCTGATCTGGAAACGGCTGCCCGCATCCCGTTCCTCGCTCTCGCACAGTACATTGCCAAACTGATCGACCGATAGGTACTTGTTCAGATGAGATCGTAAGTAAATAATACCTGTAAGCAGGATCAGAAGATTTCATGAACAAGCATTTCAGCGTGAGCCCAGATAGTATCTATGGATATTTAGTAGTATTTTGAATCGTTGTATTCAAAGAGTTCTTTTGAAAATTTTTTAAATTCAATCGATAGTTTAAAACTTTATGCAAATACATAAATCAATATTAATCTCTTGGGGCATCTGCTTAAATTTTCACAAATTAAGTCAACTTGAAGTCGTAACCAAGATTGAAAGACAATGGAACAACAATAACTTTCTCTTTTTCAGTTAAATGAAATACAAAAGAAATTTCCATTCCACCAACGTAATTGATCGTCAAAATTATGCAATCCTCTAAGCACATATGTGAATACATTTCAAGTTTATTTGAGGAGCAAACTAATCATAATGAACAAATACAAACACATAATATACAAAAATATATCTAATAAGAATGTTTGAAACGTTCGGCCAAGCACTATTTACTTGATGTAGCATTTTATTGGAAGATAAGATTATAAATTATTGAGGAGATTAATTAAATGATGCACATTTCTTATAATAAAAATGAATAGAAACAAATATTTTGTTAATCTTTTCAAAAAAGGCTAAACTAAAAATCTTCTATTTCGGATTCAGAGGGTGATGGGATTTATATATGAATGGAATTGCTATCGAATGATCGGATAACTAGTGTTCAGTCAGTCTTCTTCAATATCTATACAAATTCTGAATAAAAATAAAATAAAATTTGTGAGGAATCAGTCCAATTACTTTGGGATGCCCCTTGTATTAGACAACAGCTTTCACATTGACTTTAATTTTCAGAATAATGTCACCTGGATACCTTTATGCAGAACAGCTTAAGAATGGTTTTATATCAAAGAGGCTTGATCCTATTCCCCGATTATTGAGTTCACTTGGTTAGGATTCTACCAAATGTCCGCCTCAGTCTACACTGCCGGAATAGTACACTGATTTATATAAATTGAAGCCCCAAGTTTTCAAGTCAGTCCTTTATTTGATTTTTCGTAGTTTAAGATCTACTGTGCATAGAGTATAGAACCCATAGAACGCTTTCTCGTGGCAACTTCAATACCATCATATTTAACAGAGATACTATATACTGTTGCCCGTAAAATTCGAATATTGCCCCTTTTCGAAGGACATCGATTCCACTACCTATACCCATACTTGTTTTGCAAGCCAGTTGTGTATACCAGCAGGTGTGATATTTTTTGCGATTTTAACACGTTTTATGCAACGCGATTAGGCTGGACGCGTGTTCTGTAAGTGGCAGAGCAGTCTGCTGGTGTTGGCTGTCTTTTCTGGTTTCATTTACAGATGATTGAGCAATTAGAATTCGGTTATGAGGTTTCGACTTCCCCCATTTGGTTGCTATCGCCATTCGAGTCAATTGCAATTTGGGCAGACAAAGCTAGCTAGCATTCACTTTAATTGCATTGCAACGGCAACGGCATTGGCATCGGCATCGGCAGCTTGCAACTCGTGATTACTTTTTAGCTATGGCTTCATACTGGTTGTTTCGTATTAATTACTTGTACTGCTGCCAACGGCTGGTGGCGGTAGCAACAAACGAGTTGCTTTTGATTATAATTGCTTGCTAGCTAGCTATCCAGTGAGTTAGCTAGCTGGATGGCTCAGCAATGTCAATCCTATACAATCCAATCCCCAAACCCAATTCCAATGCCAATGCCACTACCAATACCAATGGTAATGGTAATGGCAATGGCAATGCCAATGTGTTGTTGCTGCCACCAAGCAATCCAATCCGTTTCGACCAACAATGCGAGCCAAAAGCGCCAAACAGCGCGCACTGCATTTCACTGCAGCATTGATAAATGATGCCAAATTCGTGAGGCGCTTTGTTTTCATGCCACAAACGACAAAGAGGCAGCCACACAAGCCTACAGAGCTTGACCGGCTTGAGCCGGCTCCAAGTGGCAACAACAACAGCAACAATAAACTCCGGTAAGACAACAAATTGTGCACAGCAGCGGGCGCGTCAAATTAGTGCAACTGTATGGGTGTGTTGGTGTACATATGTATGTATGTATGTATTAGTGTGAGAGTACAGGCCCCACTCGAGCTCCAACACCGACACTGACTCCAACTCCAGCTGCAACAGCAACTTTAAATGATTTATGTGATATGCCACGCGCGCACACAAACAAAACAAAACCAAACAAAACCAAACAAAACTGAACAAACAAAGTAAAAAGCGGATAACTAAAATCAAAAGCGGCATTAACTGGCCGCGATCATAGTCATTATGGCTGGCAAATGATTTTCGAGTTGAATTTAATGAGCCTGCACTGCTGAGTGTCTGCATAGTCTTCCATACACTTGAAGAAAAATGATTGAACATCAGTCTCAATTTGTTTACCAAACTCAATTGCAGATTTTTGAAAAGTTTTTGCTTCTGAAACTTATAAAACAAACTCACCGCAAAAATTAACAACAGATCTTTAAAGTATTTTGAATTCACTTTAGATCCAACTAAAGGTTAAGGTGTGAGTATTTAAAACGAGTTAAAGAAACTCTATTGCAGGTCCAACAAAAATAAAACTACTCCTTAGAAAGTATTATACATATATAGTACACTGTTGATTGGTTTACCCTGATTATAATTCCCTTTATAATAACGAATATTTCCATGATACCTTGTTTATATCTCAAGATTTTCGCAAGTCTCTCTATGCATAAATATTATAAGTACTCATGAGGGCTATGAGAAAAAGGGCAAGCCTTGAAGCGCATCAGAGTTTCCCCCCTATGAAAGTCTGTTGCAGGAAAATCGAAATCTCCTTTCACTCTGAAGATTCTGAAGATCAATAGCGTCTAACATATAGTAAAGCACACAACAAAAGTTATCTCTTCCAGATCTTGATACAGAAGAAATCATTTCAGGGTGGATTTAAAAAACGTTAGAACCATTCTTTTCTCGAGTGTAGACCTGCGCTTCAGCTGATGCGTCTGATAAGAATGACGCACAAATGAATATTGTTGGATGGATGTACATGCGTCTTTATGAGTTAGCATTTACGAGTACCGCTCTTATCAGAGTTAGCCAGATAAGATCCAAACATAGCGGCAAATATTGCAATTGTCTGTTATTGTAACTGTGCCTGCTAAATTTATTTTTATACATATTTTTCCATATGCTATTCGTGATTGTGAATATATGAATGAATGTATCTAGATATGTGAGAGTAGTGAACAAAGATATAGCTATGTATGTATGTATGAGTGACTTACTTTCACCGGTGTTGGATGGCTCGAGGGTCCACAATTGTTTCTTTTTCAAACTGGCGCCATTTGCATTCAACTTGAAGCCGAAGGTCTCGCCGGTCATATACTTATGCTGGCCATTGATCAGACCAATGGTCCACCAGCCCTTCTGTTGGTTCTGTGATATGATGTCACCATTGGTGTGATTCAGCTCACAACCCTGGCCGTTCATGGTGCTTATCGGTTTGGGCGCAATGGTGACGGCTTTATGGATCCCTGGTTAACGTGTCGCCTATATGTATCTGAAGAACCCGGTCGGTTGGGCTGTCTTCGCTTGTTGAGCCTGCAATGAATGAAAAAGAGCAGATTAAAGATAAAGAGATGAGCCACATAATGCATTTAATTATGCACAGCGTTTCGTTTGATTGATGAACACTTTCGACATACACACGAACATACACACACACACACATACTCATGTGCATGTGAGATTTATGTTCTGTCTGTCTGTCTGTTTGGCTGTTTGCCATGTGTGCAGCGATGTTGCAGTTGTGGCTGCTCTGCATGCAGAACAGGCTGAACATTGAGGCGTCGCTGCTCTTTTGGGGCTGACATTCATTTCAATGTCGCCAAGTCGCAAAGGAAACGTAGATTACTTTGCATGTTGCAGTTTACAAACATATGCCTATACTATAAGTATGTTTGTACGTATGTATGTCTGTACCTAACTGGCGACACATGTCGCAGAAAACAGAAAAAAATCAAGGAAGAGTGAGACACAATTTCATTTCGAATTCAACAGGCGACAATAACAGCGATGGCTGCCATTTAACAGTCTGCTAAGAATTAAAGCCGAGCGATGACACTCCCCTCATCTAGGCGACAGTTTAAAATACCAATCGATAGACGGACACAAACCGTTATTTTATGTAAAGGCGATCATTTAACAGCGTCCTAACTTTACATTTCTTTAAATGAACATATGATTGCACATATGTATGTACATATGCTATATACATACATACGTAGTTCTGATTATGACTTTAATTATGTAGGTATGTATGTGTGATGATTCCTTGTTTAGCTCATTAGCGTGACGTGCGCTGTTTGCTAATCAGAGCTTGCGAATCGCAAAGGCGTTGCGATGACTCAACAGCAACAATAAAAATGCCATTAGGCTAAAGAAGCAGCTACATTAATACAAAACTTGGAAACAAACGTTCATACATACTTCAATTTTGATATCAATGTATATTTCACTGTACAAATACAACATAAATATAAATATATTCCAAACATCAGATTATAAAATGCACCTCAAATTAGCTTCACGTTTATAAGACCTTTCTAAGGACCATATCTTCTTGAAGTAAAATTATATAGATTAACTGTAGTATAAGAATAACTTATGGATATATTCCAAATAGATTAGGTTTGTAAAAAACTTTTCAAAATATTAATGAATTTCGATAGGGACAAAAGACAAAAGATAAGGCTTGATAAAAGGGAATAAATTAAAAGAGACAAAACAATAATAAAAATGTTTAGCTAGGTGCTTGTGCAACTAATCTGTAAGCCACTGTATATGGAAAAAAGAAGTAAAAACAGGAAGAAAGACAGGCGTCATCATCATAGTGAGGGCGGCTAAAAAAAAAAATGGAAAAAAATAACAATAATAATAAAGCGCTGCTGGCATAAAAGGCTCAGCAACAATGAACGAGGCGTGGATGGGACCCCGTCTCGTTGTTGTGGATTTTGCATTCTAATTGCTCAAAAGGCAGAAAGTGGACGGGGAGTATAAGGAGTGGGAGGAGGTGCAGAGACGACTGGCAGCACGTGAGCTGCGTGATGGACGATGAGGCCTAGAAGGAAGACGTGCCTTACACTCATCAGCATTACTTGTTTGCGTTTATTTCTAGGCGTTGGCTCAGAGCTGACCAAACGAACGAACGAACGTACGAACGAGCGAATGTTTAAATGGGCAACCAACTATAGAGATTTCCATATCAAAGCCTGCTCAGCACACGCTTCTGGGCGTTGGCCAGGAGCAAAGCATATATGTATATATACATACATACATATCTGTATCAAAGGCCAAAAACCCAACCCAAGCAAATCAGATGGCAGATAAACATCAAATGAAATGAAATGCAAATGGAAAATGAAAACGAAATGAAAACTGTGTAAAATGCTCTTAATGGCTTGTGATAATCTTTGGGCCAAGTTAACAGCCAACCCGCAGGTGTGTGCGTGTGTGTATGTGGTGTGTGTGTGTGTGTGTGCTTGTGCAAAAAGTCAATGCTCGTTACTTTCTTGTAGTGTCAGCTTAAAAAACAAACCAATCCAATGAGCCACAAGTCGACGTCGTCTTTTAGCTTTTCATTTTCACAATAATTTTCATGCTAAATGAAATTCGATAAGCCGTTGAGCAGACATCGTCATCGTCATCATTGTCAGTGGTTGCTGTTGCTGTTGCTGTTGGTGTTGTTGCTGTTGTGGTTGCGCTAACCACAATCAATTTGCACTTGCAATACACGAAATTCGCTAGAAAATTAATTGTTGTTGTTGCCGGTGTTAGAGGTCTTTAAAAACGTTGATTCATTATGCATGCGGCCTACAGTCAACGAAATGCCGCTGGCCAAACAAGTGTTGGGATCACAGCTGCATTAATGTGTGCGGGAGAGGCGGAGGGTAACGGGAGCAGGCGATGACGTGCTTCAGCAATTACAAGATATGTACATACATACATACATACATACATGTCCATTGTACACTCCACCTTCAAATAATATATACAGCACAGGATCGTTAGCCAATGAGAAATCCACATAATATAACATTCTGTCGGAACGATCGGTTGGCCAAAAGAAGAACGTTGCTCCTAACTACAATAAATTTGTGTTCTTGAAGCACACTTAACTGCCATACCATTTCAATTAAGTTCCTCGATAGCTACACAGCAATCTTTATCGACAAAAACCAAGATCCCACTCCGTAATAACAGGATATTGTGTAGCCCCGCATTATGAATGAATCAGTTTAGCCCCTTAACCGCAGAACCCGATTGTTCTCGGATCATAGATCATTGAATGCTGAGCTGATGGTGTATCTAATATTTTGAACAGGTGTGTACATACATAGAATGTATGGCGCTGTATAGAGGATAAAAGAAAGAAAGGCATTGCAAACAGTTAAACACCGTTGCATGAGCTGCTGTTCAACACGCTAGCGCCAATTACTGCAAATGGTGTGTGGCAACAGAAGCAGCAATAGGCACAAACAACAGCAAGTGCAACTGCAACAACGTCGACGTCATAATTCCCTGGACAAAGAACGGACACAAGAAGCTGTTTAGTACAGCTGGGGCGGTATAGCCGACCGGGCGGACAGTGGAGGGACAAAACAAACTCATTCACACAAGTTGTGCCAACAAGTCCCGCGACCAGTCAATCAAAAGCAGCGCGTCAGCAAATCAATTAAATTACACTACATATTGAATGTTGCTTGTTTAGTGTGATGGCAATGCTTGTTGTTGTTGTTGTTGTCGTTGTTGTTGTCGTTGTCGTTGTAGTATTCATTGTATTGCTGTGTGGCATTATTAAACGCAATCTAATTAAATGAAATAACAGGCACACAAAGAAACACACACACATACATACATAATTATAGCGTGCCTGTGTGTGCGTGCATGCGTGTGCTTTTAGCAAATTACGAAAATGTAAAATATGCGTATATGTGTGTGTGTGTGTGTGTATGAAACTTTATCGCACACCTTTCACCAAACGTCGCGATCGCGCAACATTTCTGCCTGCATCTCTGTTGTCAGTCTGTCTGTCTGTCTGCCTGTTGTCATACGACTCTCTTTTATAGAGGAGACCATAGTCTGTGTCACATGCTCGCTCTCACCTGCGTGCGTGTATCATTTCAATGATAACGGTAAACTGATAAACGAACAACATAGAAAACGCACGAAGCGCAGGCGCTGTCAAAACAATGCGAGCGAGCGCGATGCTTGTTTATAATGAGAGCATCTGAAGCCGCACAAGTGCAGCAGTGTTGCAAAGTGTTAAGAGCCAGAAAACGTTAAATTAGCATTTCAACTAAGTTTTCCAATTCTGCATAAATCTACTTTGCTGTCTCTTCCCATAAGTTACTCCAATTGTGAAGGACTTCTTACTTATTCTATGACTTTACATTTCACAGAGCATGTTTTCAGGCTAAACAAAATAAATACATATGTATATGTACACATATGTATGTATATCAATAACTAAATACCTTGAGCCTGGGTGTCCTCTGGGGAGAAAAAACCTCCAAATGTACTAATGACACGATGGCAAACAGACGCTTCAAATAAAATATACATTTTTTTCAGACCTTAGTAAATATTACTATATACACTATATACATATATATACTATATATACATATGTATATACTATATATATATTACTATTACACTATACACTCGTGCTGAACAATATTGTACATTATAAATCTGCATTTAAAAAACTCCAGAACTGGCGGGGAAAATGGCTAAATTGGCAACACTGATGTGCAACAATTTCTGTGAATGCAGAGTAGCAACGCAACGCTTGGCTTTGCTTAATTAATTTTCATATTTTAACAGACACACACACACATGCATGTAAGTGTGCATGCCTGCATCTAGATAATAGACATTTTTACATTTCTGAGCCCACTTAAAATTGTTTTATTTGTGCTGCTGTAATGCTGTTAATGGGCAGGCAACATTAGGCGCTAAGGTGCAGTAATAACAGGGCAACGCAACAGCAGTCACTGCTGTTAAGTTAAGCTGCTCTTAACCACAGTATGGGCAACTGTCATTGCATGGCCATTGTGGTCATTTCTAAGCTGGCACAACAAATAAGCCAATTAACTAAGCACACTACAGTCTATCTGCCTGTCTGTCTGCCTGACTGCCTGCCTGGCTATGTTTAATGCTGATCTTCATAAAATAGCGAGCGGCGTGTTGTAATTTTTATAATAGCAGCTGAACAACAACAGCAGCACCAGCAGCACTAGCAAGCGCAGAAATATGTTGCAGCATACGGTATATTTTACTGTAATGCAACAAGAGACAGCAACAAGAGCCAGCAAATGGAGCAGCAGCCGCAGCCGCAGCTACAGCTACAGCTACATCGACAACAGATGAAAACTCGAGCTTGAAGCGGAACGTTCTAAAAATACGCACACACACACACCATTTAAAAAAAAATGGGTAAGCTGAGTCTGGTAGGCAGGCAGGCAGGCAATACACAGACATAAACATTAGTGCCTACGTCTTGTTCTTCTTCTTTATCTTCTTACTCTGCTTAAAGA